GTCTGGTGTAGTTTTCTTAACTGGTTTTTCAAGTTTACTAATGGACTATTATAATTTGAAAGTATATTCTCTGCCTTCCAGGGCAAACGTACTGAGTAACATTGACCATTAAATGATACATCATCGATAATCTTTTGATGAACATCTTCATCAACACGAATACCTAAAGTTTCCAAGTCCCAGTTATTCATCAGAAGACACGTAATCAGCCATTTCAGCATCTAGTTCAATTTCTTCCTTGGTGATCAGAAGCTCACAAATTTTCTCTGGGTATATGCCTCAGATACCCATTCATATAAATAGTTGTCTTTCCAACCATGCATTGTTGGGTCATCTTGGACCCTTGTGGGCTGCGCAGCTTGCTTGTCTCCACGCTCTTGCAACAAAGTTTGCTCATTTGAAATGGAGCAATATGCTACTCTTACAAGGTGGTAATGATTAAATGTCTAAACAATCTTTTGGTGGTACAAAACTTGAAAATGGCTTTGAAAATGGCTTTGCAAAAAGCAAACATTTCGTAAACTAAAGCTTTTCGTGTGACACTCTTCAGAGTTTAAAACGTCAGAACATAGATTGCTAGGAAAATACGCTAGGAAATATATATTCCCAGTTGTGGATCGAAGCACATAACTTTATAGGTTGACCAATCAGTGCCGCTTGCCTATTGAGCATGTTACCAATGGAGTTCTAAGGTGAAACGAACTCCTTTTGTCTACACAGTAGCGGTTTTTTCATGCTTATGTAGATAGATTCCAAAACTGCTAGGTGGAACGACGATCAGGCTTTACCAATAATCCGAAACATATCGCCATTATAGCTTTTTGCACAATCTGGGTTTTCTAGTAAATGCTGCCAGATGGCAGAATCGCAGGTTTTAGTTGTAATTTTAGATTTGCAAGACCGAAGTGGCTGTTCTCTTTGGGGATGGGTTTTGTTTCTAATATTAGATGGAACATGTTGTTTTATTCTATCCTCCAATCTTTGGGTGGTGCGTCCTACGTAGCCAGAATCACACTGGCACGTAAATTCATATACAACAGAACTTTTATGTGGCAGGAACACAGTCCTTTTGAATGAACGGAATTCTTCAATCCATTCTCTCGATCCATCCATGGATTAATTGTCTGTTATCTTCTCATCTCTCGTGAAATTCTTCCAAAATATCTTCCTTCAGGCATCATCAACTCATGTAAGCCTTTTTCACTGCACAAGGAACATAGGATTTTTTCTTTTTCAGCAATGAGATTCTCAGAAATATCATTCACCTCTCCTAATTTTGAAAAGATTTCTAGGAACTCTACAATCCTAAATTAGTTTCCAGCACTAAACTTTACCTTTCCTGAAAAAGGATATAATGTAATCATTTCCTGTGAATGCATGAAGTCCAAGAAGTGGTCGCTTTTGTCCTGGCAACAGTTCACATTGTGTAAGATCTAATAGCTTTCTGCCTTTGCTGGTCCCATTTCAATCAGAATGTGCAGGTTTTGGTCTTCATTGGCAAGTAGAATAATTTGTATGTCTTTGTCTTCTCAGCAAGAGCGTACAACACAACTTGTTTCTTGAACCCTGTATGCAACATAAATGAAATCAAATCACAGTGAAATATCAATTAGCCGTTTGACTGCTAATTCTCTGAATGTATCTGGTACATTGACAGTTGATCTGATGGTGGCAGTTAAATGAAGAACATAAAAAAACTGAGTTGAAACAATTCCTTCGTCAGCTAATATTGAGGACAAATCTGCACTTTTGTGGTAACCCCTTTCTGAGAGAAAATTTGTTTTTTTTTTAATTCTATTAGTTGCCTTGCAAGGTGTATTTGATTTGCTCTTAATTTAATTTTTTCATTATGGAGTACAATGCATGCTAAATTCATGCTCTTTACAGTAGCTTTAGCACATCACACTTCGTAAGGAGGACCCTCCATCGTCCCTTTAGTATCCCAAAGGCTCCTTCTGTTACCATCCTGGCTCTACTTAATCGGTAATTAAAATACTTCTTGCCATGACTCAGAAAAGCATTGGAGTATGGTTTCATCAACCAGGAGCGAAATGGGAAAGCTCCATCACCTAATAGGAGAGGAGGAGCTTTTACACTACCAACATCTTTAGCAATTTTCGGTATGATGTTTCCAAGAGTAATTGTTTTGGTTAAATGTGTGGATTGAAATATTGTAGATTCCTGGTTATTGCCAGTGAAACCACAGCTTGCCCATGTGAATCTAAATTTTGCATCAACTAATGCCATCAATACAATGAAATAAAATCCCTTAAACTTGTGACGATCTTTCCGAGATTCTTGTAGACCATGTGGGCACTTTATTGAAATATGGTGAAATATCCATATTGCTGCTGCTGAAATATTGCTGCAAAGGAACAAGGAAACTGCCAATGTTCTTCTATGGCTACCATTGAGTTCCTTAACTCTACTTCAGTTTGGGGGAATATGCCATAGAATTCAGAGTCCCACATAATCTGAACTATCGCAGCACAAACTTCCATAACAATTATGCAGACTGTTGCCTCACCCACACCTGTTAGTTCGACAATGGTGAAATAGTAATCTCCTCTTGAAAGTTTGTATAGGCAGATAGCCAGCCTGAAATCAGGAGGTAAGGGTCTCTTGTTCAAGCTTATTCTTTCGAGTTCTAGCATCATCTGATCAAGTATATAAACAAACGTTCCTCTTGAAATGCTGAGCGTTTCTTTGAACCTGGCATCACTGTACTCTCCCACCAACCTGTAGTGTGCTGAAAATGACTTCTCTGTTGTGGAATCGACAAGGTGGTCGGATTTGCCAAAAAAGTATTGATGGAAAAGCTGACAAAATAAGCTTTCTTCTTTGTTGTGCAGCCTTCATCAACATTGTGAATTGCCTTTTCTTCTTCATGTCTTTTTTCTTTTTAATCTTGCGCATTTCATCATTTAATTTTAAAGAATTGAAAGACGGGATATTCGAGGCACTGTTTGTGGCTACCATTTTCTCCAAGTGACAGGCTTTTTTACGCATGCGCAATTTGTTGGAAATAATATAAGCTGCTGCTAATATACGAAACACACCTTTGGTTAATTTAATTTGATGTGACAGAAATGCGACCTTCAAACTAGGCCTCACTCATTCCTATTCGGTTATTTGGCTTCAAATTTAATGAATTTTTGGTTATTCAGCGGATATGCAAAATGGCTGTGGCAGGGTGGTGGTAAAATACTGCAATCTGAAAATTTATTGTAATTTAACCAAGCTGTGAATAAAGCTAATCAGTCTTTTAGCTTTCCTATTGATATTTCCTGTGTTTTATGTAAATTCAAAGGGTGTGCTGCAAAGCAATTTTTAAAACGATTTTTTATCAAAAATAACTGTTTTCTCGAACCTTCCCTAGCATTAGTCGCCCTTAATGGCCAGAAAGTCAGTATGACATTAACAAGAAACCATGGTCGAAAGTTGTTTTCCAAAATTTTGTGAAATAAAAAGCTTTCTTGCACGGGCTTCAACACAGGTTGGGAAGTTGAGAGGGGGGGAAGATAAAATTTAATACTCACAACAAAAGATTCTGTGAAAAGTTATATTATTCTGCAAAATAGTGGTAGTGTAATTTTCCCAAAGAATTTATCCACCCTATCGTTATTGTTTAGACTAAATGGTCCTTCCATCAATGAGAAAAGAAACAAATAGACACAATGATAATGTTCAAACGTCTTTCTTCAGATCAAACAATCTTTCCGCGAATAAGGTTCTATGAATATAATGTTTCTCTACTATTGTCCCGTAACATCGATTTGTTCTCTTAATGTCAGGCACAGTCTTTCTCAAGCACTGTCCTCTCAAATATATCAAATAATCCACAATAACTTTTACAAGCATCTTGCCACATAAGTGAAACGTCGAGAACCTAAATATACAAAATATCAAAACTTAACCTAATCGCTCTTAACCAAATTCAATCTCCAACTAAAACTAACTCTAAATATAACACGCCCAAAATATAACTAAACAAGAACTAATTGTGATGCTACATAGCTACGTAAATTTACATAATAATAGTGAATACAAAATATACTACTCCCAAGATTAATTACATAAACTGAATAATGATACTAAAAATCCCAAAAGAAATAGTTAATGAATCTAAAGGTGCAATTAGATAACAAAAGGAATTATAAACAATCGAATGTGGGAATGGTGATAAAATTACTAAGGTTACAGGATGCAAAACAAACGAAATCTAAACTAGCACTATAACATACCTCCCCATCTTGAAAATAGGAATTGTCCTCGATTCTATATACAAATACTATAAATAAACGACTGTCTGAAATGTTCTGTCCGTTAGTATTAAAATGACAAGTCCAGTAAGATAAATGTTGGCCAAATGCATCTCTGTATGGTATTTAGGGTATATGAACTATCGTCTCATTGAACAGTTGTTCGTCACCTCCCATTGATAAAATA